ATATATATATATACATATGAGAAACCCTTCATACACGTCACACCAACGTCGTATCTATGGTAGCAGTTTGTATTACCCTATTCATAGTGGCCGCAGTCTGCAATCGACGTTTCTTTTCCTGTACAACCGACGTTCATCAGCCATATTATACCCTTGACGGGTGTAAAGTTGGTGGTTATGTATTCCTGTACTCCAGGGTAACCAAGCATACGACACACCACCTCAGCGTCTTTCTTGTCCCATCCATATTTACATACAGTACCCCACTGACCATGGTTTCTGACTTCAAGTCGACCAAAATTGTTTGACCTTCCTCCAGCTAAACGAACTTGAACTGGTGGAGGATCTGTGGATYTGTACCAACATCATTTAGGTAAAAGTACAACTGACACGTGGACAAATGTTTGAAAAAGAATCAGTAGAGCTTTACTAAAGCTCTTATCTGAACAACAAATGAACTATTTAGATGATTGGCCTTGATGTGATGATAATTAAATGATTAGAGTAAAGTACGGATTTGTCTTTCTTACCTTCATTTGCCTGACAAACCACCCCAGCAAGACGTTTATTCGAGCACCATGAAGAAACCTTCCACCATCCACGGTGAGCACACTCTGMTATCGACTTTTCTCTACCACTGCATCCCACAAGACCCATGAGMGTTCTTCTTGGTGTCTCTCCTTCAATAAACCGAATTGCGTGTTTAGCTGCTTTGTAACCAAGCATTTTGCAGATCACGTGAGCATCTCGTGTATCCCACAAATAATAACACACTACTCCCCAGGTCCCTTGATACAGGATTTCTACTTTGCCAGTATGGTTTTGATCTCCCACCAGACGAACTTCGATCGCTTTCTCCTCTAAAACAAATAGCTTTCAATAAACAAACAATATTCTAATCACGTCCCTTATACATTGCTTATTTAATGTCCAGAGAGTAAAGATACACAATATATAGAGATAGCTATTCTAATCAACGTGGTCAGAAAAAGTAACGAGTGACATTTGATAAGATGTCACAAAAAAATATATTGCGAGACTTTACGATACATTTGATGATCGTATAACCTTGTGACTTGACATGATTGAATAGATAAACAAAGATCATATGAATATTATCTTGTTCTGTAGGTTATCTAGTTGTACCTGGTGTTAGATTGCCACATACCACTCCAGCATCACGGCTGTGAATACATCCACCAGTGTTACCCCAGCCACCATGAGGACACTGATCAATAGATTCTTCGTGTCCATAGCAACCATAACCTCTTAATTTAAGCCATATAGGACCAGTTCCTTTGACGCTAGCAGTCGTTGCTGTAACTGCCTTGGAGTAATTCAACATGTGACACACCACGTAAGCAGCGTATATGTCCCATTCAGCATTGCATATGGTACCCCAAGTACCTTTGTATCTAACTTCTAAACGTCCCTCGTTAGGAGTCTTACCGTCCACTAGACGAACAGATACCTTGGACTTTGCTTCTGTAACAAACAGAAACGTGCTAGCTTAAGAATCTTTCTGTTTTCATTTTTAAGTGAGGTATAAATCATGTATAGTTGTTTTTTACTTTAACTTGGAGAACGATACGCTTTACCGACTTTGACTATCGTCTACATTACGCCAGAAAGTATTAACTTCTACACGTCCCCCGTTAGGAGTCTTGCCATCCACTAGACGAACAGCTACATCAGGCGTCGGGCTCTAAGATTGGTGAAATTGAAATATATAAATTCATAAGTACTACTGATCGATCTTATTCTCGCTTAGGTATTTACTTTGCAGGTTTTCAGCATTGCTTATTGCTTTATTTGAATTTGATGATCACAGGGGTGTTCTTTTTCCATTTAGGTTTCCTATTGGAATGGAGATTCAAAAATACATCTCATTGTGCAAAATTGTGCAGCACATGAAAGACCTTTATAAAATATATATTTCATACATATCTGTGGAAAATGAAGTGCCTTTTCCACTCTAAACCATTGAAATAGTTAAATAAATCCCTGTATCTCCCAATATTTCTTTACATGGTGTTAAATAACATGGATGAACAAACAGAAAACTAGATTTCAAAAAAATATCATATTGATATGACTAACCCTGAATAGACGTCACTCCAACGTCTTCATCATGGTAACAATACGCATTACCCCATCCACGGTGACTACAGTCTGCAATCGACGTTTCTTTTCCTGTGCATCCAATGTTGCTCACCCATATTATACCCTTGACGGGTGTAAAGTTGGTGGTTATGTGTTCCTGTACTTCAGGGTAACCAAGCATACGACACACCACCTCAGCGTCTTTCATGTCCCATCCAGCAATACATACAGTACCCCACTGACCATGGTATCTGACTTCAAGTCGACCAGAATTGCCTGACCTTCCTCCAGCTAAACGAACTTGAACTGGTAGAGGATCTGTGGATTTGTACCAACATCATTGAGGTCCTTGTACAACTGACACTTGGACAAGTGTTTGAAAGAGAATGAGAAGAGCTTCACTAAAGCTCTTATCTGATCAACAAATGAACTATTTAGATGTTTGACTTTAATGTGATAATATTTGAATGATCAGAGTAAAGTAGAGATTTGTCTTTCTTACCTTCATTTGTCTGACAAACCACACCAGCAAGACGTATATTCGAGCAGGAATACTTCCACCATCCTGAGTGAGCACAGTCTGCTATGGACTTTTCTCTACCTCTGCATCCCACACCATACATGAGCATTCTTCTTGGTGTCTCTCCTTCAAGGTACCGAATGGCGTTTCCAGCTGCCTTGTAACCAAGCATTCTGCAGATCACGTGAGCATCTCGAATATCCCACCACTCATACGACCAATCATCACAGACTACTCCCCAGGTCCCTTGATACTGTATTTCTACTTTGCCAGTATGGTTTTGATCTCCCACCAGACGAACTTTGATCGCTTTCTCTTCTGAAAGAAATAGTTTTGAATGAACAAACAACATTCTAATCACATTCCTTACACTGCTTGATTTGATTTTCGGAAAGTAATGTTACACTTTAAAAATAGGTAGCTATTCTAATCAACGTGGTGACAAAAAGCAACTTGAATATTTGATAAAAATAGCAAAGAATGCAAGAATGTTGAGTTGAAACGTTTTATATCTTGTTTTTGACACGATTGAATTGAAAAACAAAGATCATACCAATGTGAGGTTTTGTAACGTATCTAGTTGTACCTGGTGTTAGATCGCCACATACCACTCCAGCATCATGGCTGTGATCACATCCATCAGTGTTACCCCAGCCATCATGACCACACTGATCAATGGATTCTTGGGATCCCCAGCAATCAAGCCGTGTAAGCCATATAGGACCAGTTCCTTTAACGCTAGCAGTCTTTGATATTACTGCCTTGGAGTAATTCAACATGTTACACACCACGTAGGCAGCAAATATGTCCCATCCATCATTGCATATAGTTCCACAAGTACCTTTGTATCTTACTTCTAAACGTCCCTTGTTCATGAGTCTTGCCATCCACTAGACGAACAGCTACATCAGACGTTGGTCTCTAAAATTGGTGAAATTGAAATTTATGAATTCATAAGTACTACTGATCGATCTTATTCTTATAGGTTTTTATTTTGCCGGTATTCAGCATAGCTTATAACTTCATTTGAATTTGATGAACACAATAGTGTTCTTTTTTCCATTTAGGTTCTAATGGAATGGAAATTCAAAAATTCGTCTCATGGTGCAGAATTGCGTAACACATAGAATACCTCTAAAAACATATTTCATACCCTTCCTTGGAAAATGAAGTGCCTTTTCTACTCTTAACCACTGATTTAGTTAAATAAATCCCTGTATCTTCATTTTATTATATATTTGTCCTTCAAATGGTGTTAAATAACATGGATGAAAAAATAGAAAACCAGACTTTAAAAAAATCATATACATATGAAAAACTCGTCATACACGTCACTTCAACGTCGTATCTATGGTAACAGCCAGTATTACCCCATCTACTGTGACTGCAGTCTGCAATCGACTTTTCTCTTCCTGTACACCCGACGTATCTCAGCCATATTATACCCTTGACTGGTGTAAAATTGGTGGTTATGTATTCCTGTACTCCAGGGTAACCAAGCATACGACACACCACCTCAGCGTCTTTCATGTCCCATCCATCATCACATACAGTACCCCACTGACCATGGTACCTGACTTCAAGTC